TGATATTATATACATAAAATCCTGTAGGGAATTTAATTGTGGACACAATGATACCACAATGAAAGACCTACAACGAGCATTGAGCTGACCAAAGTGAAAAGAATGAATACATTATATTGTTCTTGGACAATAAAATGTGTTCACTCTTTTCACTTACCAAATTTATACCAAATTGAAAACCCTAGGACGAGAACTGAGATGACAAAGTTGAGAAGAATATACACTTTTCAGTGTTACCACTCACTTTTGGAACCCCTAAAAGATGAGACTAACCAAGTTATATTGGATGATAAAATGGCAGCAAACACTCTGAATGAATACTTTACATCGGTGTTCATACTAGGAAGATTGAACGACATCCCATCACCCACACAAATGTTTGAAATTTATATGAATTAAAAATAAAAAAAGTGTTGAATGTAATGAAATGCCATTTTCTTGGTGAGACCCGGAGGTTCCCTGGAGCTATACTGGGCTGATGTGTATATATTAGACCATGGCAACAGTCAATCGATGGAGTTCTAGGCCTACCAGGGACCAGCACCAGAACCTGGCCCCCCTCAGAGAGGCACGAGGAGCAATAGCCTATAGACACTCCCATGTAGTTCAAAGCAGTCTATATCTGCCATCTACCAAGTCAGGCACCCAGAAAAGTAGGAATCCCAAAACAAACTACAGCTAGTGAAAAATTACTAACTGAAAGGCAAATGAGCACACAGAACTCCCAATCAAAAAACAAGCATGATGTCACCACAGCCACCATGCTGCTGTCTGCGCAACTTGCCCCTCCCCAGAAGGGGGATGAGGGGGGGGGGGGGTTCCAGACCTCCCGCGCTGGATACCCAACCCCAGTTCAGAGACTGAATATCAAAAACACGAAAAAAATGTTAATCGGTGGGAGGGATGGATGCCGGGGAGCCTCTGCGTCTCACCCAGAAAATGGAGCTTCATTACATTGAACACGGGTTTTCTGTGGTGAACCCCTTTGGTTCCCCGGAGCTACCTAACTAAAGATAAAAGAAAAGACGGGCTTACCCGGGAGGCGGCTGCCACTCGCTCCTCAACTCGAAGTCGAGAAAACTGGCTGCAACCTGCAACCCAAGGTTACACAAGCCCGAGAAGGGCCAGGAACATTAACAAGGTACTGTGCAACCAGGACCCTGTTCGACCTCCAAAAGCCCCGTGGCCGAATGTCAGCCCAGGACATATTACCAAAAACAGCAGCCAAAGTTGTGAACTTACGAACATTGTGGGTACGGGGATAGAACGCAGGCTGGCTGGACCGAATAATCCTGCGGACGACCTGGGAGCCCCTCGCCCTGGAACAGGGAAGAAGGGAAACCAGGTCAACCCAAAGTGCATCCCCTGCTATGGAGGGGCAAGGTAGTACCTTTTTAATGTCAATAAATGCAAGACCTTGCATGTGCAGCACAGCAATCCTAGTGCCTATGTACTAGTGTGCCAGGTACTAAGGTTCCACTCTCCATGGTGAATAAAAAATCACTGGTAACAGGTGAAATGCCAAAAATTTGGACAATGGCTAATGTAGTCCCAATATTCAAGAAGGGTGATAAGACAGGAGACACTGAACTACAGGCCAGTGTCCCTAACTTGCATACCATGCAAGATAATAGAGAAGATTGTGTGAAAAAAGCTAGTGGAACATCTGGAGCAAAAGAACTTTATAACATAACATCAGCATGGGTTCAGGAAGGGCAAATCCTGCCTAACAGGATTAATTGAATTCTATGACCAGGCAAGAAAGAGAGGGGTGGGCAGACTGCATATTTTTGGATTGCAAGAGAGCCTTTGAAACAGTACCACATGAGAGACTAGTGCACAAGCTAGAGAGGCAGGCAGGAGTGAAAGGGAAGGTACTCCGATGGATAAGGGAGTACCTAAGCAACAGAAGAGAGTCACTGTGAGGGGTGAGGTCTCAGAGTGGCGATGTGTCACCAGTGGAATCCCACAGGGATCAGTCCTTGGACCTATATTGTTTCTGATAATGTAAATGATCTCCCAGAGGAAATAGACTCGTTCCTCTCAATGTTAGCTGATGATGCAAACATTATGAGGAGGATTAAGACAGAGGAAGACAGTATGAGGCTACAAGATGACCTAGACAAGCTAAAGGATTGGTCAAACAAATGGCTACTAAAGCTCAATCCAAGTAAATGTAAGGTAATGAAACTATAGGTGGAGGAAATAGAAGGCCAAACATAGGATACTGAATGGGAGATTAAGTCTTTCATGAAACAGACAAAAAAAGATCTAGGAGTTGATAAAACACCAAACCTGTCTCCTAAGTTCACATCAAAAGAATAACATCGCGGCATATGCGAGGCTGGCTAACATCAGAACTGCCTTCAGAAACCTATGTAAGGAATCTTTCAGAACCTTGTATGCCACATATCTAAGGCCAATCCTGGAGTATGCAGCCCCAGCATGGAGCCCATACCTTGTCAAGCACAAGATGAAACTGGAAAAAGTTCAGAGGTATGCCACTAGGCTAGTCCCAGAACTAAGAGGCATGAGTTACGAGGAAAGGGTGCATGAAATGAACCTCATGTCGCTGGAAGACAGAAGAGTTCGGTGAGACATGATCATCACATACAAAATTCTCAGGGAAATTGACAGGGGTAGACAAGGAATGATTATTTCACATGGGTGGTACAGGCACAAGGGAACACAGGTGGAAGCTGAGTACCCAAATGAGTCACAGACATATTAGAAATAACTTTCAGTGTCAGAGTAGCTAGTAAATGGAATGCACTAGGAAGTGATGTGGTGGAGGCTGACTCCATACAAAATTTCAAATGTAGAGATGACAGAGCTCGAGAAGCTCAGGAATCTGTACACCAGTAGATTGACGGTTGAGAGGCAGAACCAAAGAGCCAAAACTCAACTCCACAAGCACAACTAAGTGAGTACAGACAGATGAAGGAAAGGGCCTTGGAGTCAGAATCCATCATTCACTAAAAGCTGCACAAGTGAGAGCAGCAGTAAAAAAAAAAAAAAAAAAAGCAAACCAAACCCTGGGAATAATCAAGCGTACCTTTACCTTCAAGGAAAAGAAAGTAATCATTTAATTGTATACGTCTCTGTTGCACCCCCACCTGGATTATTGCATCCAGGCATGGAGACCTCATCTTCAGAAAGACACAGCTGCTTTGGAGAAGGTGCAACACCGGACTACAAAAATCATACCAGTGCTAAGTTATCTCTCGAATCAGGAATGGTTGAGGGCCACTGGGCTACCAACACTGCAAACCAGGCATGACAAGGCGGATCTCATTGAAACCTTTAAAATACTGAAAAATTTGGAGAATGTCGATCCGGATAATTTCTTCAAAAGGTCAGATGTAACACGAATGAGGAGCAAAGGGTTCAAGCTCAACAAACCACAATGTAGGACAGAAAACAGGAGATACTTTTTCAACTATAGGGTTGTAAACCCGTAGAACTGCTTGTCCGCCGAAATCGTAAACGCCAAAACTCTGCTAGGGTTTAAAATACAGCTGGAAAAGATCATCAGGGCAAATGGGGAGCCTTTTGACAAGCAGCTGGCTTCCGATCCTCATCGAGTCCACTAGTATTAGTGGCCCTCAGGTAAATTCAAGTAAAGGTAAATAAAAAAGAAGAAAGAATAGTGAAAGAAATAATCTGAAAAGGAGTAAAAAGCACAACTCCAAATTAAAACATACAGAGACATAGAGGCAGAGACAGAAAGGCAGAGAGGCAGCGGCCTAATCATGTATCATAAAACAATGATGACCACAGACCTCCTCATAAAAACAGTCCGAAGCTAACAGAGAACCCTTTACAGCAGTTGAACATGGTCTACATGTAAACCTGCCCCCACGAAGAATGTAACCTTCAATCCACGTACATAGGTATGACGTCGACCAAGCTCACGAGGCATTTGACTTGTCACCTTCACATGAGACAAGCCCATGACATCACCCTAACAAGAGAAATGGTGAATAAAAATACCTGCATAATAGACAAAACTCAGGCTGTAAGAACACTACAAATTCTTGAAGCCATTCATATAAAAGCCAAATAACACACCATAAATAACCAAATAATGGAACTATTCACTCTACCCACCATGAGAATAAAAACAAGACCGGAACAAGAAGATGCCAATGGAGACGACACTGCTCAAAACACCATGCCCACTACACCTGATTAATCTTTGTATATGCTTCCTCCCTTTTTTCCAGTTTATTTGTGCCCATTTACGTCCCCTCAATCGTCCCTATTAACGTCCCCCATTCGTCCCCCATTTATGCCCTATTCTTCCCCCCCCTTTATGTTGTACTCCTGACCTATTTGTATTATGTACCTGACCTCCATAATGGTATAAATCCAATATGCCCAGTACAGTCCCATCAGTTGAGAATGAACCATGTAGGTTTGAAATGTTGTGTAAATTTATTTACACACATTTTATCAAGATGCAAGGCCATGAAAAAATTTGAACAAGGTAAAACAAAGTATATCCCCTCTGACCATAATACTGTAGCTAGTACAGGAGCACAGTACAGTGAGATTGCAAAAGCTATGTAGTTATTCATAGTTAATGTAAAGGTTCAAGAGTGCTACACAGGATGTGAAAAGGTGCTGTTATGGGGGATTAAACTAAAGTGCAATAAGACTCTAATGTCAGTTATTTACCTGTTTGGCATGTACTGAAGATTTTGTAGTCAATCCAACTTCTCTTTTTCCCATATGGTAGTAAAGTTATTGAAGAGACGTGGCAAATATTTTTTACCTATATATATACTTAGCAAATAATTACTTTCCTCTTAACTTTCCCCATAATTTCCTCCATCTTAAGAAGGCCAACACTCTGGCACCTTTCTCTTTTTTTCCTGAAAAAAAGATCCTACTGCACTAAAAAAGGTTCTTCAGAGCTTTCACTCCCTTTCAACCTACCCTTTTACCCCCCTTCCCCCCCCTCCTCCACCATCCATCTCCCTGAAGCAGGTACTTACCCTGCGAACTTCGGCACTCTGCCTCTCGTAACGCTCCTGTAGTTGGTCCAATTCAGACTGGACTTTGTCAAGGGCTGACTGGGTCTTCTCTTGACCAATCTGTGCTTTGCCCACTGTCGCTTGAGATCTCTCCAGCTCCTCCCGCAGCTTGTCAACCTTATGGAGGGCACACAAAGTAGCTATTATTTACATTTATATAACATACAGTATATGATTATTTCTTATAAAAGTGTTTTAAATGCAGACGATGAGTCACAATAACGTGTCTGAAGATATGATAACCAAACCTCACAACTGAAAATGCACAGACGACGACATTTTGGTCTGTCTTTCACCATTATCAAGATGATTGTTATGGGACAATCGACTTGATAATGGTCTAGAATGGACCGAAACATCGTCTCCTCATCTTCTGGTATGTGGTTTAGTCATCATAGTTTTATAATCACAGTTAAAGAATAGCTGTTTTAGAATTCCATAATATTTAAGATTTGCAGAGTACTTAATCTTAATAACATTACAGTAACTCACACAAGGTCAATAGACAATCAGAACAGTTGAAATCCATGAAAGATAGCTAATGATCAAACTTGCGAGACAAACAACCAAAAATATAATTAACGAAAAGGGGCTATTAATGACCACAAAATTTGTAGTTAGTCACAAAAGGCAAATACCCTCAGAATGGAACTAATAACTGAACATGACATTTTTGTAACTATAGAGCAACAAATGCCATACACAACACTTGACTTGGTCTGACCACACAGCAGTTAAAGACCATGTAACTTCAGATACTGACCACACAACAGTTACAGAGCACATAAGATGGTAACAACACAGAACAACTATCCCAGGGGGGCCTCGTAGCCTGGTGGATAGCACGCAGGATTCGTAATTCTGTGGCGCGGGTTCGATTCCCGCATGAGGCAGAAACAAATGGGCAAAGTTTCTTTCACCCTAAGTGCCCCTGTTACCTAGCAGTAAATAGGTACCTGGGAGTTAGTCAGCTGTCACGGGCTGCTTCCTGGGGTGTGTGTGTGTGTGTGTGAAAAAAAAAAAAAAAAAAAGTAGTTAGTAAACAGTTGATTGACAGTTGAAAGGCGGGTCGAAAGAGCAAAGCTCAACCCCCGCAAAAACACAACTAGTAAACACACACAGTTAGCACACAAGACAATTATTGATAAAAGAGACAGTTACTGATCACACAAGACAGTTCCATACCACATGGGACAGCTACCAACCACACAGGACAGTTACCAACCAAACAGGACAATTACTGACCACACAGGACAGTTATCAACCACACAGGCCAGTTACTGACAAAACAGGAAAGCTACTAATCATATGGGACAGTTATATATTACACCGAGCAGTTGCCAATCATACTTACAGGGTAAGTGATCCTGTATGGTCACTTACTGACCACACAGGGCAGTTATTGACAACACTGAACAATTACTGTTTTCTCCTATTCCACATTTCATAACATAGCATTTTATTCACATAAAATTCCATTTGCCAAATTTTGTCCCATACACTTATTATGTCCAGGTCTTCTTAATCCTTAAATTGCGCATCGCATCATATGATGCTCCGACCGACTTGCAGTAAATTGCGCATCGCATCACATCATATGATGCTTTGGAGTACTACGCAAGATTTAAAAGGCCCGCGGATACACGGGGTTCACCACACCTTTATCAGGGCTCTTGTCAACAGACACCATTTAAAAAAAAAATCGTGGGCCAAATTCCCGGGTGTTAGGGGCCTCAATATTTAGTGAGCTACCAAGCCTGACGCACGCAGCATGAGCTCACAGCACTGCTGTTCAGCTTGTGACCACAGCATCGCCTAAAAATGCCATAATATACTTGTTCATGCTATTATGTAGTGATGATGATATTACAGAAGACCCCTGACTGTGATAAAACTAACCAGGGTTCTGATAATAGCAGGATTGTGGTGATATTTAGCGTTGTGCTCCATGGAGGGAGGAATAATGCTGTGGGAGGGAGGGTGGTGGCGTTGTCTTCTGACTGTGTGTGGCCACCTTTTATTGACTGCACTCACCATACCAGCTTAGTGGTTTGCTATGGTGAACACAAATGTAGATACTTATATATAACGTGTGTATAGAGGGTATAAACAGCAATAGTAGTAGGTTGGGAGCCACCATTTTGGTGAGGGAGGTGGCGTCGTCTGCACGACTTATGTTGTTTACTGGTGACCACTATGGTCTTTGGGCACCATACCAGTTTACTTGTACAAGTATGGTAAATAAAACAGGTAGATACTTATATATAATGTGTGTATATAGCATAATAACACCACAAACAGTATTGTTGGAGGAGAAATATTAGTGCGTCTGGCCTTGAGGGTGGCCGTCACCAGCTGACTGTGTGAGTAGCTACGTCTTTGTTGTTGGAAATTTCCAACAGTTTTTCTCATCCCTAATACAACAGGATGTATTTTCTGTATTAAGCGTAATAATTAACTAACACTACTAATATGTAGCTTAGTATTGTGGAATTTACTGTATTAGGTTGTGGAACATCATGTAATTTCTCCTAGAATTGTACTGTATAGTGTTGCGTCAGCCACTCACGGAAACTAAATTTCCACATACCTGTAGATCTAACACAGATGTAACCATTTACTTTCCTTTATTAGGAATAATTATTTAGTAATAGGTTTACTTTTAGTATACAACAGTTTACTGGAATTCCTGTACCCAGCTTGATCGCTGTTCCAGTAAATAACATCATAATCTAACATCATTTCCACCACCAAGCAAGTATTGTTTTATTTGTGCAGTCTACATTAACTGACTTGCACTGTGAGAATCAAACATCACCACATAAAATATAAAGTGTGTTTGTAAACGCCCCCTTCCCTATTTAGCTTTAATAAATAAATATAATTTATGCTCGAACCCTCACGGTGAGCGATTGCGAGTGAGAGCTATGTGGGTGAGTGAGATGTTGAGGGAGTGAGTGGCTGGCTGGTGTGTGGCGGTCACTCCTCGTTACTTTTTGACTCATAATAGCAACTTAGTGGTTCATTATGGTGAACAAAACATGTAGATACTTATATATAACCTGTGTATATAGTGTAATAACCGACACAGTATTTGTTCACTGTTTGATGAACATAATTGAATCAACAATATGTACACCATATTTTTGAGTACAGCGATGATTCACTCATTTTATTATATAATAATATCACACTGAACACTATTGAATAATATTACAGCAAAAAAAACTACAAAAAATCAATCAGAGCCATTGAAATAATTAGGTAATTATCTCTTTGTGGCAACTCCGACCTGACAGCTGGCGAGCAACAGACCGTCTGGGACGCACGCTGAGTCAGCGCCTGTTTTTTGCCAGACTTCCCCGCCCTATAGCGGGCAATATATGCCACTTACAATTTTTTTATTATTTTTCCCATGATCAGTGAACATAAATTAACAGGTTTAGAAGAAAAAATATTTTTTTTTTTTTGGTATATGCCTGTGAGTGACACATGCTAAATAGCCAGGTGCATACAAGGGTTAAAGGGCATGACAATCATCTAAGTTTCTTATCTTTCCTGGTATCTCAGCATCATTAACAAAGATGTTCATATAATACTGTATTCCTTCTGGTAGATCGTTTATTTATATAATGAACATTACCGGTGCAAGAACCCTGTGGTACTCTAGTAACATTTCTCCACTGTAAACATTGCCTCTGATTACTGCTCTCATTTCAAGTTAGAAGCCTCATTGCCACTTCTCCAGTATGTTCCTGTTTCCAGAACAACCTCTTATGTAGGACTCTGTCAAAAGCATTTTTTAGGTTTAGATAAATGCAGTTAATCCAACCATCTCTTTCCTGTAAAATTTATGTGGTTCTATCATAAAAAACAAAAGAAAGAAATCAAGGGGTAAATGAAAGAGAGGGCAGATTATCCAGATTGCAGACGGCGAAGAAGTCAAAATTCTTTACCCAGTTAGGTAGAACTAAATCTATATAATACTGTACAGTATCTCGGATGACAAACAGGTTCTGAACCAGAGCAGCAATGTACAGAATACTGTAGTAATGTGCTAAATATAGGAGCAATCTCTCAGCCCCCCAGGAATAATGTTGTTTCTACACAAAAGCCAGAAGCTTAGTAAATAAATTTGACACATTATGTGCATATACTGAGGCTGAAAATCATGACAGCTTTGGCATCAGTGAAACATGGAGACGAGTGGACATAATAGCCGAGGAATTCTCCCATCCACCGTTCAGAAAGGACAGAACAACAAGAGCAGGTGGGGTAATACTGTATGTGAAAGAGGACCTGGATACAACTAACACTGAGGAACTGAACCCCATGGGTTCCTCAGAGTCTGTATGGTGCAACATTCTAATTCAAGATGGTAGCAAAATGACAGTGGAAGTATGCTACGGGGCTGACACAGCAGCAGCAGAGGAAATTATGGATCTGCATAATGTGATCAAACCGGCATCTGAAACCCAAACCCTAATAATGATGGAATTTAACCATGAGACCATAGATTGAACCAACCTAACATCACAAGCAGAAGGTGAACAATTACTCGACCTTGTGCAAGACTCCTTTCTCATACAGCATATGGTACAGCCCACACATGGTAATAGCATACTAGATCTTGTGCTAACAACAGAAGATATTATAAATAATGTATTATTTATAGTTTATAATACAGTGTGTGACTGTGTAGTGTGTGAGTGCACATAGAATAAATAAATTGAATATTGAACAAGTAATACTGTGACAAACAGTTTTTGTGGACATATTAGTGTCCACAAAAACACTATGCTAATATGCTAATGAGTGGGGGACTATGCTAAAGAGCAGGAGTACTAGTTGCAGGAAGGATCTTGAGGTTATCTTGAGATGATTTCGGGGCTTTCTAGTGTCCCCGCGGCCCGGTCCTCGACCAGGCCTCCACCCCCAGGAAGCAGCCCGTGACAGCTGACTAACACCCAGGTACCCAGGCCGACCGGCTCCCAGGATTGCTAGGTTCTGTTATTTTCTTCTCCTTTTCTTTCCTTTTAACAGGAGTTTCTTTGCTCTTTCTGGCTGTAGGTTGCAATTTTACCGGATAGTTGTTTGTTTTGGTTCGCCTCTCTTTC